ATCTTTATGTATGTGTTTATAGTTGGTGTGTTAATGACCTGGTCTTGTATGCTAACATAAACTCATTTCTCCGGGAAGACATCACATTCAGACAACAAGCTGGCGTTGCTATTAGAGTCAACACAATCCTGGCCAACCTCTGTGGAAATTCGTCCATTAAAGGCTTTTGGTTCCATGTCTTATGTATTTGATGATGTATGTAGTTTGGATGGGGTGGCAAAGATACATTAGTTTCGTGAGGTTAGTAGTGGTGTAATTTGTCTGCAATGTACTGTTTTGTGTAAGACTGAAGGATCTGATTTTCTATAAAAGTATTGTTCGCAAATTGTGTATTTGTGTTTGGTGCAATGTTTATATCTGATAAGCCGTCTACCTCCTTCGACCGAGAAGTAAGTCGTATAGTAGATGAGTGATGGGTGATGTATATGCGTGTTTTGTTAATAGTGTTACGTGTGTTTCTTGTATTTGTTCTAATCTGTGATTTGTCCAACGATAATCCCAAAAGAGTAGTAACACTGAGTGTGCATAAGTGTTAAAGCTTTGATTGTATTTCGACCGTGTAATATTTGTTTTAAGTAATACTGCGTACTCTTTGTAGTATTGTGTGATAAGTGTTTGTTATACTCGTATGTTTAGGTTAATGTGTGTTGTTTTGCTGAAACAAGATACTTATAAGTTCATTCTCGTCCATGGAATTATTTAAATTACCCTGTTCGACTCATAATCTTAAAAAGTGTCTTTACCAGCTGTATGTGTTGTGTTTTAATTTACTTATTTTTTATAATTATTATTATTATGGTCGGTGTTTCTTGTGAAGAACTCAGGTCTAGCGCTGGTTAACTAATCGCAAACGGATTAAAATCAAGATAACGATTAGTGTCTGTGTCTGTGTCTGGTGAAGTTATTGTAGGGTTCCTTAAAAAAAAAAAAAAAAAAAAAAAAAAAAATAATAAAAAAAATATCACACACATACATTGGACATCAGGATAAATGTATTCGTACTACCAACAATACCTATTATGGCACAATAGCACGCTATCAGGAAAGAGGAAAAACAAACAAAAAAAATCATTATAATAATTCCTTATTTTATTAAATGGAGTATTGGTAAGTGTTTCTTTGAGCTTTGCGTTTGGGTTGAAGTACGAGTGGTTTGTGATAAACGTGGGTGCTTTCTGTGAAAGAAAAAGGAGTTTTGTTTTTAATTGTAATTTATGTGTTTCTTTGGTTCCTGAGTCGTAATTTGTGAGTGTTGCTTGGTTTTTGGTGGAGATATTGGCAGTATTTGGTGAAGCCTGGTTAGGGTTTGGATGCCTGTTAAGGTTTTTTGCGTTTCGGTTGATACGAGTGGGTTGTTTCTGAGAAAAGGAGTATTGTGTTTTTAAACTGTGCTAGGCGTGTAACTTTATTTGGATGGACCGTCTTGTAGTAACATGTGCGTACTTGTGTTTATGGTGTTTCTTTGTTCTTGAAGTTGTATTTGTGAGGTTGCTTGTATTTGAGATAATACAGTATTGTTTGAGCTCAGTGTGCTGTATAGGTTTCTGCGTTTGGGTTGAATACGAGTGCGGTTTGTGATACGTGGTGGCTTCGGTGGAAGAAAGGATTATGTGTTTTTAATTGTGCTAGGGCGTTGTAACTTTATTGGTGGACCTGTCCTTTGTAGTGCTGTTGCGTTTACTTGTATTTATGGATGTTTCTTTGTTCTGAGGTTGTATTTGTGAATTTGCTTGGGTTTAGGTGGAGATATTTTAGTATGTTGGTGAGCCTGTAGTTCTGTTAAGGTTTTTGCGTTGCGTTGAATACGAGTGGGTTGTGAAAATGTGGTGTTTTCTGTGAAGAAGGAGTTTATGTGTTTTTTAACTGTGCTAGGGCGTGTAATTTATTTGGGACCTGTCTTTGTAGTGCATGTTGCGTTAGTTGTATTTATGGTGTTTCTTTTTTCTTGAGGTTGTCATTTGAGAGGTTTTTGCGTTTGGTTGAATACGAGTGGGTTGTGATAACGTGGTTGCTTCGGTGAAGAAGGAGTATGTTTTTTATTGTGCTAGGGCGTGTAACTTTATTATATTATATTATATTATTATTATTATTGTGTTTCTTGTAGAACTCAGGTTAGCCTGGTTAACTTAATCGCACGGGATATTAAATCAATAACGATAGTGTCTGTGTCTGTTGTGAGAGTTATGTAGGGTTCATTAAAAAAAAAAAAAAAAAAAAAAAAAAAAAAAAAAAAAAAAAAAATCACACACGTACATTGGACATCTAGGGATAAATGTAATTCACTTACCAACATACCTATTGATGGGCACAATAGCCAACGATCAGGAAAGGAGGAAAAGAAAAACAAAAAATCATTATAATATTCCCTGTTAATTTATTAAATGGAGTTTTATTGTGTTAAGGTTTCTTTGGCTTTGCGTTTGGGTATTGAATACGAGTGGTTGGATAAGTGGTGTGCTTCTGTGAGAAGATTTTGTGTTTTTTAATTGTATTTATGGTTTTCTTTGTTCCTTGAGGCTATTGTGTGAGGGTTGCTTTGGGTTTTTGGTGGAAGATATTTGCAGTATTTTGTGAGACCTGTGTTAAGGTTTTTGCGTTTCGTTGTATACAGTGGTTGTTTCTGAGCAAGAAGGAGTATTGTGTTTTTAACTGTGCTAGGGCGTTGTAACTTTATCGGATGGAACCTGTTCTTTGTAGTTACATGTTGCGTACTTGTTTAGGGTTTCTTGTTCTTTGAGGTTGATTTGTTGAGGTTGCTGGGTTTTGATGGAGATATACAGATTTGTGAGCTAGTAGTGCTGTATAGGTTTTGCGTTGGCGTTTGAATACGGTGGGTTGTGATAACGTGGTGTGCTTCGGAAGAAGAGTTATGTGTTTTTTAAAATTGTGTATGGCGTGTTAAACTCTTATTGGTGGACCTGTCTTTGTATGCATGTGCGTTTACTTGTATTTATGATGTTCTTTGTTCTGTGAGTTGTATTTGTGAAGTTGCTGGGTTTTAGGTGGATATTTTAGATGTATTGGAGCCTTGTAGTTTGTTAAGGTTTTTGCGTTGCGGTTGAATACAGTGGTGTGAAATGTGGTGTGTTTCTGTGAAGAAGGAGTTAGTGTTTTTTAACTGTGCTAGGCGTGTAATTTTATGGGTGGACCTGTCTTTGTAGTGCATGTTCGTTAGTGTATTTATGTGTTTCTTTTTTCTGAGGTGTAGTTGCAGAGGTTGCTTGGTTTTCTGCTGGATGAATTTAGTCTGTTGTGAGCTGTAGTTCTGTTAAGTTTGCGTTTCGGTTGAATACGAGTGGTTGTATACGTGGTGTGCTCGGTGAGAGGTTTATGTTTTAATTTTTTTTTGTTTTGTTTTCCTCTTTCCTGATAGCGTTGGCTATTGTGCCCATCAATAGGTATGTTGGTAAGTACGAATTACATTATCCCTAGATGTCCAATGTACGTGTGTGATATTTTTTTTTTATTTTATTTTTTTTTTATTTTTTTTTCTTATTTATTTTTTTTTTTAAGGACCCTACATAACTTCATCAGACACAGACACTAATCGTTACTTGATTTTAATCCGTGCGATTAGTTAACCAGGCTAGACCTGAGTTCTCACAAGAAACACCGACCATAATAATAATAATCGTATTCAACTCAAACGCAAAGCCAAAGAAACACTTACACAATAAACTCCATTTAATAAAATTACAGGAATTATTATAATGATTTTTTTTGTTTTGTTTTGTTTTCCTCTTTCCTGATAGCGTTGGCTATTGTGCCCATCAATAGCTATGTTGGTAAGTATGAATTACAATTACACACTATCTCTAGATTTCCAATGTGAGTGTGAATTTTTAATTAATTAATTTATTTATTTTATTTTTTTGTTAGGACCCTACATAACTCCACCAGACACAGACACAGACACTAATCGTTACTTGATTTTAATCCGTGCGATTAGTTAACCAGGCTAGACCTGAGTTCTCACAAGATACACTGACCATAATAATAATAATGGTCCGCAATATTTAGATTGTCTTACTGAATCTACAGCGTTTCAGCTTGCCTGATGTCAAGGTGCTGATTTGTTGATAATGGTTTAATATTTGGAGATAAATTTGCAATGCATGCGTTGAATATTCTATTTTCCGCGAAATTACTTTTTTTTGTAGCACGATTGTAAGTGAAGTAGTTGAATGGAATGAACCGAATTTATTTCATTTACTTATTGTTCAATCGAATTCCGTCCTTCGTCTTTCATTAATTCAAATAAATACCACTAATTTCCCTTAAAGTCGAAACAGCGCGGTTACATTAAGCTCTTACAATTAATTCGGCAAGATTTCACTAACTTTTATGTTTTTTAAAACCGTATTCACTTTAATTTTTCCTCAATTCAACCTTCACGTAGAAATGTCCGTACTTTAACTCGAGTGAGGCTCGGCGCCTTTATCATTATTGGCAACTTCGTAATCACACACTTAGCAGACGACCTACACGCTATTTCGTCTGCTTAGTGTCTATCCATCCCTTTTCCACTTTAGCCTCGTTTTTTATGTTGCCGAGTAGAAAACACGAAACGGATCCAACGCAAACCTCGTAACCAACGTCCATTCTCAGCCAATTACCAACCCGCATTTTCATTATCTCGGCGAAACCAACGTATCTGAACCGGAAATAACGGCACCATTAGTAGTATTGTTAAGCTTTTCCGTTGAGAATGAATGCGATGCTTATATTAGTACCAATAAAACTACTGACTAGTGCTAGTTGCATAATTCCGTGGAATAGCTGATACATGCGCCCAGTTCAAAAATACACAAGTTACCCTGAAAAATATAAGGTAGACAATCACTAAAAATAATTAAGCTCAGTTCAGATCCGATGGGTTTTTTGCCATCTCGTGGAATCGTGTTTTTATAAATATTACACCATTTAATTTGATTTACATGTAGAACAAGGTCAAGATATCAGACCTAAAAGTATTATATTTACGCAAATAGCGATACCAAAAATTGATATAATTATCATTTATGAATATTAAATGCGACGATACACTAGCTCAATCCGTAACTGACTATAATTAACATGCAACTAAGGCAAGTTCTGTTTTATTTCGCGCTTGCCTCCATTTGTGCCTATTCATATGGAGCGGTGGTGGATGATGAACCGGAGGAATTGGAGGGTGAGTCTTGCAGTACAGTTGCGTAGATAATCTTACAACCTGTAGGCTATTATTGGCGACACTATACCGACCACGTGCCGAAAGATGCGCTGCCCGGAGGAAGAGATATAAGAGGCGAAACGACCTACATCGGCCAAGCTCTATATAGAGGTATTTTGATACCGGGCCAGTTTATTGTAGGTGATAGGAAGCTGTACTACGAATGGGGTGACGCGGAACGTGAGACCAGCGATAACATTAAGGTTAGAGCTAAGGTCTCATTCAGAAAGAAAACGAGTCCCATTTCAGATCTTATGCACCAAACATCCCGAACAATTTGAATGGATTCGAACCACCACCGAAGAGGTTGGTAAAATTCCGAACAAGAACTTCATTTTGGGCGGTTTCGAGTCGGACTTCACCGTGTACATTGGAAGGGTCGCGATTGAAAACACGCTGGCCATCGGAAAAATTATTTTCAGCACCCACGAGTCGTCAAGTGTCGGTTTTCACACCACTTGTCGACAAAACGCTTCATTCGTCCGAGCGCAACAATTTGAGGTGTTGAATTATGAGCCTACTATACCGCCGCCGATAAACATGGAGGAGAAGGCCAAGGGCGACGCAACGCACACAAGTAGAATTGACTTGTTCTTCTTTGGCACACTGCTCGCAGTTGTCGTGTTCTTGTGTCAATGATGAAAGCTTATTGTTTATTTTTCCTAATCTGTTATAAAATGACACAATGCTCATGACTCCTTAAATTGATGAATCCTATAACTGACCTCTTACCATTAAGACTTAATCTGTTTTGTAAATTAATAAAAGTTTATTGGAATCTTAAAGTGGGGCAAGCACTCATATTATGTAGAACTTATTTAAATTAAACTTGCTCATCTCAAAACATGAAAATCCTTATTTGTTTGCACTTGGAGCGCATTATCTTTTATCTGAAAACCTTATCGGAAGCGTCACTGGCAAAAGAAAATTACTGGCGACTGTCTGGCGCGAGATAACGGGCGGTTAGACCGAGTTAATAAGTTTTTGTGCGACCCAAAACAGCTAAACGTAATAATGCAACGATGCACCGTGAGAAACGCGAATTTGGCACTTTACACGCGCGTGATTGGTTAAAGTAGACGCAGTCTATTGGCTAACGATCCAAGATGGCCGCTACTGTATTCTATTAGCGCCATTTTGTGGCGTGTTAGGAAAAAAAGGGTAGGGACAGATCTAGGTGTATTTTTTGAAAAGCCATTCCGCGGGTGGCTGCGAGAAGTACCTTTAAAAAGCAGTTCAATGCTATGTTAAAGAAACGCAGTCGATGGGCGTGTGCGTGTGCGTGTCAGGAAAATCAGGCTCCGCATTGGGATTATTTAAAATTTGTGTCCTAGCTCAAGGATACGGAGAAGACCTAAATTTCAATTGCTACAGTATGCTAAATCGACCAGCCGTCGAAATCATTGGCGAAATTCGTGTCAAGCACGTAAAGATCTGCATTGAAAGAGGAAATTTTTGGTTGACAAAGATGCAAATACGAAGCTCTTCCGCTGGATGCAAGAGGGTGGACCGTTTTCCAAGGTTGGACGACTCAAGGGATAGTTTTAGAAGCTGTATGATTAAGGAAAAGTTCATTTTTCCATTTGAATTCAGTACGGTCCGTTTTATTTTAAGCATTTTGATAGGTTGGAATTTTTCTGTTGTAACAACAAAGAGAATTATCCTTTAAAGATCCGATCTGTTCGTTTTGAGACTTTTTTGAAACTGAATTTTAATATCAGCTGTGAACATGTAAAGTACAGGTAGAACCAGAGCCTACTAAGAACGTATATTGTGTGTATTCAAGGTTGAGGTTAAGTGGAAAAGCAGCACCTGCATGTGCTGAACTTCGCTTCTTGTTATGCAATCAATTATATGTATATCACAAATTAATTCAAATAAAGACATTTATTATTATTAATACTATAATCGGCTTTATGGTTCAGTGGTAGAGCGTTGGACTATAAATCCGGAGGTCGGGTGTTCAAACCTGGGTTGAGGTGAATTTTTCATCTGTGGCAGAGATAGGAATTACCTTAGACCAGTTTCGAGTATTTTGCCGGCTACTACGAATTAGGTTTTCCTGTAGTTTTCCTAATTCTTAAAGTAAATACCGGAGTAGTATAGAACAACTTAAGACCATCTGCAGAGGCACCTCTAAAAAGCATTATGCGGGTCACTCTGTAATTGGGCGCAAGCCTGTTGAGGGCCCAGAAAAAAGAGAGGGATAATAAATAAATAAATATTCCTGTATAGAAATCTTGGTTTATTCTTAAAGATTCTTCAAGAATGATCGACTAACAAACTAATTACATACATTAATTGATTTCCCGACAAACATTCGTAAAATTCTTACCTTGGCATAAAGTTAGATGTCAACGCCAATGAGCTTCTATACCACGTACTGTACTTAAGTATCCAACCATTTCAGAAGGAAGTGGCGGTCTATCGATGGAAAAATTGTAGTACACAAATATTAGTGGAACCTAAAGAAAGGTACACTTCAATTACGGGAAATGCAAATGGCGGTACGATAAGAAAGAAAAAACGCAACTATATACCCACTATTGGAGTTATATAGAAGAATCCGCCATAACTACCGCGGGATCCCTAATTAAAAATCCATTGGCCAGAGATTACTATTTATATTGATGATGGCAATTATAATTCCAAGCGTTCCAACACTAAAGCTTTCAACTGTTTGAATAAAACTGGATCCGATCCTTGATAGAAAGGACACGCACTGCTCGGTAAAATTGGGTGGTTAAAATTCCAACAACAGATGGATCCATCCATACAAAAATTACGAGGATTTTTCAAGTAAATATACCGTGAACAACAATAGTGGTTTGTAATGGAGAAGGTAAGAGAATAACTGATAACGTTTTGTTTACGTTGATGCAAGTTTAACGATCAACGGAATCGGAATGGGCAACGTACTGTATAAGCACCCCATTAAACACCCTATATACATTAGGGTGTTCCCAAAGATGTTCTGAGAGTAAACCGTTAATGTAACTTTTGCTTTTCGGGAACTTTGATCCGATCAGGCCAGAGTATGCAAATTTTGATTTATGTTGCATTTAATATTACTTTCGGCATATCATGGTACGTAGATCATAATGTATCATAAATAATGTCTATAACGGGACTTCCTTTTCAAATGCCTATCTCGTCGAACTTGTGTTACTGGAAAAGAGGCTTCTGTCGAGGAATGAAATGGGTTATTTGACGCATCGGTGAGTTCTCAGAGATCCGGGAATCCCGTGCAATGACATAAAACCTAACATCATCTTTTATTCCGCTTGTAAGCACTGTCCGTGTGTGACACTGCTTGACTTGTGCCTTGTGGCCACTACGTTCTTAAATAACATTCTTTAAGGTTTTATTTATCTCTATTAAATTTGCTTGAACTTGCAGTATATAAGTTAGACAATATGCTCAAGCAAATGGAAAGGCGACATCTTAAATATGACCTTATTGTGTACCTAAGCAAGACAAATTCGTCCATAATGTTTAGAACATTTATCCTCAGATTAGGATGGACCTACTGGTTAATGGAGGTCTAGGATATGAGGACATTAACGTTAGTTTTGCCGAACTTTGTACATAAACATTCATTCACAAAGACACGGTTATCCTGACGGTGTACAGGAATTCTGATTTGTGCGAGAAGTTCTCGTTTCAGTGAACTTTGGTTACGCTCAATTTTTTCTTGTTTATTATGTATATGAGTAATGTTTCGATTTAAAAGTATACTGCACGTACCCAAGAAGACTCGAATATTTAAACTTTGGCGGAGTCGTAATTTAATTTAAATTAATATTGTGAGCGCCCGAGTTTCATTTTATTAGGTATATGCCAAAACAGTGGACGCGTATACGAGTTTCATATTTATATGTACGGTAGATTCATGCTTAGGTTATAACCACTACTACAACTCTAAAAACTATAAGGTCTCGTGGAACATTAAATAAATATGTAGTATATTACTAGTGTATAATCAAGTCCTTAAAGCACGCGCACCGAGTTTAACGGTACGACGCGTAGCGGAGTGTCTTTAAACGTTGCTTAAAAAAACAAATTACACGTGTTTCTTATATTATTTTTTATTATACTTGCAAGATAATTTAAAAATAAGGGAAATAAAATGAAATTATATTGACGTTATACTCTAGTACATGTCTAATTAAGTGGGCTGTTTATTTGTAACTCTATGATTGCCATGGAAATGTCATTAAATCATTGATAAATTAAGCAGAAACGTCAAGAACAAAGAAGAAAATTAAACAAGAAAGAGAAAAGAAAAGGAGGAAAGTGGCGTAACGAACAAGATACAGAGATAGAATGATGTATGACAAGTAAAAACCAGAAAGGTAAAATAAAAAAAGATTGAAAAATGATCTTATTTCACTTCGTTTCTGAGATACTCGTATTTAAAGATTTGCCTTTTTTTTACCAGTGGTGAAGATCCCGCTTGTTTTCAGGAAGACAGGATATCTTTAACGTTGTATTGTGGGCGGGATATGTCAGTAAAACTTCTATATAATATATAGGAGTTATGATGAAATAATGCAGAGTTTTAAAAAAGGTCAAAACATTCTTGAAATAGAATAGTAGCGTACATTACACCAGCGCACGGTTTCACATTTGCGGATCCTTGCCGTCCCCATAGCTATCCTCACCTATGTAATTGTCATAGTAAGTTTTAGCTTACCAAAAATCAAATGGTAAAACGGTTACATGCGCAAACAGGTTTCAAAATCTACCTGCTCCCAAATCAGTTCAATGGCGTAAGGCGGCAAGCGTAAAACTTCGTGCCCGTACTCACACAAGTACTTATCCACCGGTGCATGTGGTTGTACCTGGGCAAGTAGTTCCGATTTAAACATGCCAGCCGCGCACCTATCGCCGTCGTTTTGTTAGCATTTGCCGTTAATGATTGTTTTACCGTAATTTTTTTGTAATTTTTGTTGGGAATGTAGTTAGGGTTGTTTTTAAGTAATGTTGGAATTTTATAAAATGCGAAAAAAAGGAAACGGATTTTGATTCGGTTCAAAAACGGCACCAATATATCAATAGTACCTTTTGTGGTCAAACTCGTAGTATAGGTTGAGCATTCCAGCATGAGTTTGTTTCGCACAGATTCCGCCGAAAATGGTGTATTTTTTACGCTTGTGTCTTAATTTCTCCTGTCTAATATGTATCTATCCGGTTTTGATTTAATGCTAGTATACATGGCATACGACGACTCTGTTTTAATTTATTTACTTACATAAATAAGAATAGTAGATTGTATGACAAGTAGGAAAAGTTGCATATTCCTGGACGATGATAGTGATTGTAAGCCGAGGCGTTAGCCGAGGCTTACAACTATCAGAGTCCAGGAATATACTTTTCCTACGTGTTGTACATACTATTTTTTAGTCGATAGCCAATAGTTAAAACACCAAATATACCATTTCAAACTAAATTTAATTTTCACCAATTGTCATTTGGTCTAATGTCATTAGTCAAGGCTTGTATGCGATAGGTGCGAGGATCGAACCCGGGCGGCGCCTTTTTTTTATTTACAGTAATTAATAAATGCAAACATCAAGTTCGTTTTCCGAGCATGCATTGTTTGAACGTTACCATGGACATGACGTAAACAAATCGAAAATTTTTTCGTTTGAGTGAATTTATAATTAGTTGATGTGCAATATTAATATAAAATGGATATCGATGGTAATTTTGATGAAGATTTATTTTGTAGAACACCACCTGAAGTTTTGGAGGCAGTCAATGAAGCTACTCTTAATCTGTTGCCAACTAAATCGAGGGGAAGTATGAAAATGCTTATCAACGTTTTATGGAATATAGATCAAGTAAAGGAACTTATTCGTTTTCGGAAAATGTGGTACTCGGATATTTTCTTGATTTGTCGAAAAAGATGAAACCCTCAACACTTTGGGCAAATTACTCCATGTTGAAGGCCACTCTTATGTTAAAGCAAAATGTAGACATCACTTCATATAACAAACTGCGAGCATATTTGAAAAAGCAATCCGTGGGTTACAAAGCAAAGAAGTCGAAAGTCTTCACCAACGAACAAATCCGAGAATTTATGATGAACGCTCCAGATGATACTTACCTCATGGCTAAAGTAAGATTTTAATTGAAAGGCCTGAAGATTATAATTTAATTTTTTTAGGTTGTGGTAATTTTCGGAATTTATGGCGCCTGTCGGCGAGAGGAGTTATGTAACATAAAGCTTACGGACATTGAGGATTTGGGTTCACAACTACTGGTGAAGATTCCATGCAACAAAACCAATAAACCACGGTCGTTTATAGTAAACGACACTTATTTAGAAACATACCGTAAATATGCAGCCGTTCGACCATCCAATTTTCACTGCAATAGGTTTTTCTTCAAATACCATAATGGTAAAGGATTTAAGCAAGTAGTGGGGGTGCATACATTTGCCAGCATTCCACAAATCGTTGCTAACTTTTTGAAACTGTCCGATGCAAACCTTTACACGGGACATTGTTTTCGAAGGACATCTGCGACAATTTTGGTAGATAATGGTGCAGATTTGACTGTTTTAAAACGTCACGGCGGTTGGAAATCGTCGAATGTGGCGGAAGGATATATAGAAGAATCCTTAAAAAATAAAATGGATGTGGCAGAGAGAATAGTTACTTCAATTTCTGGCGCACATATTCAGTGTAAGGGTGCAAGCAATGTTGGCGTCTCTACTAGCACCATCTCCAAAACAAATACGGAGTCCACTTCTTCAATTAATTATGAAGTAGAGTCGACATTGACTGGACTACCAAATTTGATTGGATCTTGCAATAATTGTACTATTAATGTACATATTAATAGGCAATAAACTATTCATTTGCGTGTATAACTGTTCTTTTATTTTTTCATGCTCACAAGAATATAGATATTTTCCCGTACGTACAGGAATTAAGATTCCCGTACAGTACGGAAATCACATGCTTTGTGATGACATAAACAAAACAATAATATGCCATTTTTCCGACTATCGACTAAAAACTTGTTTTTTGCGCATACGCAGTACGATTTTTTTTGCTCACACATTGTGCTTGCTTTGATTAGAGGGACCTACCATTGAAATTTCGTTCAAATTGCTCAATAAGTAAGAAAGTTGCGTATTGCGCATGTGCAGTACGATTTTTGGCGCATGCATTTATAGGCAATTTGATTCTAAAACGTGGCCGATTGATACAGCAGACCAATGTAAAAAAATCGGCATGATACTAGCTCTAGTCGTTTCCAAATAAACACCAAAATAGGACAAATGTGCCTTCTATAGGCCATTTGAGAGGGAGAGGAGGAGGAAACATGTAACCCGAATTTAGATGCCACCCAGTGTTATGTTTGTATAAGACCGTTGACACATTGCTCGGCCTCGCCTCGCACAAAGAAGAAACCTTAGTGAATTCACGCGCATTTACTCAAATCGCCGTAGATTCTAGAACGCGACCGATCGTTTACGCCACCAAAATTCGAAAAAAGCGCCATGTATAAGGAATTTGGGGTAGGGGGGCGACCCGATGCCTCTGAAGTGCAGTAGAACTGCGAAGCCAACGCACAAAACTGCAACTCGATCCGCCCGCAACGCCGTCCCAAATTTCCCTCCACGCAGCGAGGGGGGGGGGGGGGCTCGTTCTACAGCGCGTTGGAGGGAGACACCGTGAGGTCTAGTTCACCACCTTCGCCTTCCCGAAACGCATTTTTTTTCGATCCCCCCTCCCTTCTCCCCACCTTCCTAATAGTGGGTAATGTTTTATAAAAAAATTACAGATGGCGTGTCGAGGTGAAAACAATCTTGCCGAATTCCATCTCTATTTGTTTCAGTATATCTCGAACAAGTGCCTCAAAGACGTCACTCGCGCCTCCTCCCCCGCGCTCCGTCAGCCGGCGGTCGAACCCCGCTTGACGACACTTCAGAAGCGCCCTCGAACTACAAGGCCAGCGCAAAAAAAACCACAACTCGATACGTCCCCCGTTCACCGCTGCAGCCTCTCAACGTACACTCCATGCCACGGAGGAGGCGTTGGATGCGTCTCGATGCCCATTCCATTTTCGCCACCTCCGATTCGCCGTAACGCATTTTCCTATTTTACCCGGAGGAAAATCCGTTTTACCCCCAAATTACCTTCGGGATTAAAAGTACTACTTCAGGCCGAGGTATATAATATACTATTTTGCGTTTTTACACCTCTTCTGGCAGCCCCCCCTCCCCCTTCAACATAAAAATTGTACTCTACCTGGTTCGACGCGCCCATTCTTGTTACCCCCGTAAGCTGCTACGACGTTCCTTTGTTACTCACCGTTTGCCTTTCGGAAGGGTTTCTATGGGGAAAAAACGAAAACGGGGGCGGCCATCTAACGATTTCCTTCGTTTTCACATATTTTCATGTTCCATATCCGTGAAAGACGCTTTACCAAGTTAGTGTAGTCAGTTTGGCATAGCGGACTCTAACTTCATAGGTAGGTAATGAGTTCGAATCCCACAACTTGCCAGTTTTTATTGATACAGAACATCTCCTCCCTTCCATGCTTCGGAAATCGGAGGGTATGTAAAGCTGTATTTTCGTATAAATCCGTGTTCAGGTCAAAAGTCCCTTATTTGGACGTTGGACGCTGGCTGTGGTTCCAATACAGTATTTGAAGGGCTATAAGTAATTAGTTATGAAAAAAGCGAAAGAGGTCGTAGAGAATATGGGAAAAAAGAAAACAAAGGAAGCTGTTCAAGTCGTAAGGGGAGAATCGAGGCACACATTCGAAACAAAATTAATTAAGTTAATTGCCTTCTCTCTGTGCCATTTTTCCCTTGCTCCTTATTTAATTTTTATTGAATTTCTGTACGTTCACTACTTTTCCTTGCCGATCCTCTGCCTGTGATTTTCTCCGCAACCATTTTATATAAATTAAAAAGCATTTTATTAAACATTAGGGGCAATATAAATTCAAATCAATAGGTTATATTTAACGTATCCTAAAAAACCTTCTCGTTTGTGAGTCGATTTCTCTGACACTACAACGGAAGCTCTTTGTAGTAACGACAAATCGGTCAATTACGTCAAACATGCGAGCAGTGGAGGGTCAAAACTTCGAACTCGGAGACTCAGAAGGGGACACTCGAAAAGGGAAACCGGTGACGGTGTTGGTGGGCTCAAAACTGCAAGTGAGAATATCTCGAAAACGGCGTCTCGAACAGGATACTTACAAAGGGCATATCGAACGTGGCTCTATCGATGTGGTTAAAACCAAGTTATCTTTCAATTTACACGCTCACATTTCGACGTGGAGTTCGTAGCGCCATAGAACACTAACTAACCCGAATTCTTTTAGGTACTTTCTTTAACCTCAAAAACGTGTATTTTATGTAACCTCTAGTATTTTTTGGTAAGGGGAAATGATCCATTTAGCATATAGTACGCTCCTACTAAAAGATTTATCTAAACATCATATCCTGTTTTCCAAAGTTGAATGTAGCCAATAGAAATGTTTCCCTAAAAGTCCGAATTGATAAGGCTTGAGTGCGACTAGCATTGCTCTCTGTGTAATTCACGAATTGTGAGTTTCCACGTTTATCAAATTGTTGCCCTTTTTTCTTTCGGTTTGGTAAGTTTCTCATTAGTAAAGCGTTGAACGGGAAATAGATGACAGCAATTTTATAAATGAGTGCTTCCGTTTATTGATGAGTCCCGAGTCTTTGCCCTGAAAAGTGACATTAACAGAAACTCGGCAGCGTTCGTTACACAACCTCCATTAAAATAAATCGATCGAAGCATTGTCGGTAAATTAGCCCCCTTATGCGTAGGGATACGATAAGCAAAGAACTGCCGCTCATAAAAAACCGATTCGAAGTGGAAAGCGTGCTTTTTTTATTCGGTCTAAATATAATTTACATCCTCGTTCCAGTGATTTGGAGTGAAGGAAACGAGGCGCGTTTTTATATCAATTTCAATGTAAGCCTATTGGGATGATATTTTTAAGCACGACGAGGCGAGGCCGTGCGAGATTGGTAATCAATAACAGGCTATCGGGTTAAGAATGTTTATTGGTTTTGACGTTCTATCGATATCAAGAATAACGTGAATAGTAGGCAAATTAACCCTCTTCCACTCAAAGTTGGCGAAATAAGGTATCTGTTTTTCCTGGCGTGCGTGAAAAATTTTATTTTCACAAAAACACAAGTTGCATCAAAGAACTAGACATTCAAGACTGAACATGTTCAAATTTGAAACTTTGATTTCAGCTCCGAGGCCGTAGCACACCTACGAAAGCTTTCACTTTTATGTAAAAAAAATTAGTAAGATTAAAAGTGCGGTAGTAAGAAAATTGCACACATTTACGAAAGTTCCTGGTCAGTAAAATCTGTAAAATCACCCCCAACGATTCGTTGGTTTCAAAATTTTCTCCGGAATCTCCAATTGCAGGGCGATTCCGAGCCAGCAATCGTTCTTAACGCTCAATTCAGCCGACACCTGATAATCATAAGCAGTTTTCCACTGTATACAACAAAGAGGTCCATTTCAAGACTGTGACTATTTGTTTTATTTGACCATTTTAAATCTAAAAATAGTTATTTACATATGAGTAAATGGTAAATCAAGGTTTACGTTAACGAGTGAGATGTTTACTGCCGAAGCGTAGCAGGAATTTCGAAACGAGTAACGTTAACTGATTTAACATACAAATAAAGTAAAACATTTTATTTCATACTGCTCTTTTTCTTATTAAAATGCCATACAATTTTTGATTAGAATGTTGTACGCATTCAAATAAAAGCAAAAGTCGATCACTTGATTTGTTTGATCTGACAGTAGTTTGACACATTAATATTTCCAGTCTGGTAAAAATGTTCAGTCTGGTAATAGTTATTTATTTAATCAGTGGGATAACGGCCTCATTAACTTACGAATGCGACAATTGCGCATACGAGGGCGTTAGCCCGAGCTATTGTAAGAGTATGAGTATGTTAATGGCCGTTAGCCCAAGTATTAAATACAACTTTTAATGCGACTGTTCTTCTACTGCTAAAAACGAAAAATAAATTTGATGCATTTTTTTTAATTTCAATCGAAGTAGCATAGTTAGCAGTTTTCGACGCCATAGAAACAAGAAAATCCTAACGTCAAGAAAATTTGTACGTCAAAAATTTTGCTTCTGATTTCTTTGCTTATGTCATGAGTGAGTCTGGAACTCTTCCATCAGACGTTAATGTTTACAATATATAATCTTGATAGTTGATTTTTGATCATACATTGTTTTGACAAGGGCTTATCCCACTGAGTGTGGTAATGAAGTTCTTATCCCACTTAAAATGACCGGGATAAGTGAGAGTTATCCTACAGGCGCAGATCAAATACGATTTACCAGACTCAAATAGGTCTGGGAAAGCGGCGATTACTAGATAGTATGAAATAAATATAAATTTTCGATACGCTGATGCCAGACTGAGATCAATCACAGTCTGGCTTCGAGTAGTTACGAGCGTGGGTTCGCTGTCCTGATTCAGGATCTCTAAATTAGTATTTGTCAGATATTCAAGTACTGATATACCACTAGGGTTGACGTTAGTGCTCCCCATGTAATATGGTGAACAATTGAGTCGCACCTCCCAATTCGAAACCGTACCAAGTGAGTTGCTGACGCTGGAGCAAACACTGACAACAGGTTGCCTTGACGGGCTGGGCGGTGATGCATCCGCAGCTTCTTGTAGTTGCCCCTATAGCAGCTGCTGGTGTTGTTGTCATCAGTTCGGCAGGGTTACCCTTTAAAGAAGAAAACCCATAACTGATTCTTTTCCCCCCTGGCGATTAGGTTAGCCTGGCCCTTTTCGTCGATCCCGAAAACTATCAGCCTCTCTTGACGTTGATCCTTCACGGCTGTGTGGAGTAGACACCAGATGCCTACACTTGCCCAAGAATTCTGCACCTCTGAGCGTCTCTTGACCGCCACCAGGTCTTCAGATTCCCCCGGGACACAGATGGCAGCATTGCGGAGCCTAAGAGGGCAGTTTTCCTGCATAACTTTTAGGTGTACAGCTACATTGACAACCACCTCCTTCAACCACTCAAGAGAATGGTTGTTCTCACACGATATAATTAGGATCTCGCCTGAGTATCTCCACCCCCTGAACGCTAGTGTAGCGCATTTTAGGGCGAACAGATGCTGGTCGAGAACCTTGGGTTTGTGATTTCGTACCATATTGTTAGCCTTTCGACAGCTTGCTTGTAGCTCAACAAAGGGACGTCTATCCAGACGCCAGGGCTACTAAAGGAATGTAACTTCTAAAGGGTAGTGGAAAAAAGGCATGATTTCGCTTTGGAGTAGGTCATTCGAGAACGGCCTCCCTCCAGCTAATCAGTTTGCTGTCACTACCCTGCTGATACCCACCCAGTTAGCGCAAAACCTTATTCATTTTCATACGACTTTGATTGCTTCTGCATTTTTGTGATAAGAGTAACTGAATGGTCTTTACGGAACGTAAAAGTATCTGTTAGTAAATGGCATAGAATTCACCCTTTGCGATCCAAAACGATGTGTTTTTACAACTTTTTCTTTAATATAGAAATTATGAAATACAAAGGTAGTGTTTTTTTGTGTTGTTTGTGTAGTGTAAGTAATTAATCATTACGTGGAAGCAAACATGATGATGACACGGCTGTAAATTACCAATACACTTTGGTCTGTGTTGTATAGGTCAGAGGTGATTACTATCTTCAGTATTTTCAGATAGAATTACAAAATATTATTGTATAAAAACCGAACGGGTTACAAAAGGTTAAACACAACCAAAGTGTATATAAATAAAAGGAACCTTTGCCATTATTTAGTAACCATACCATCCAAAATGAAAGCTACCTCATTGTGTTTTGTGCTCCTTTGCTGTATCGTGCAGGTAAGATGCATACACAATTTTCTTTCAATAACTGTCTAACAGCAACTGTTACGTAGGTACTTTCTGCGGAGTTCCCCGAGGAACTAATAGACGATATTGTCCGCGAATGCTTGAAAGAACACAACGTGGATATTAAGGAGTTATCGAAATACTTCGATGACAAATTAAGAATTACTAGTGTGGACGATGTCGGAAATAAGCTAATAAAGTGTTCAATTGAAAAGCGGAAATATTACGCTCCTGATGGCGGATTCGATAAGGATGTGGTACTTAAGGATATTGCAAAGTCGCTGACAGCTTTCGTCAAAACAGAAGGGACGGACTATGAAGCACTGGCCGAAAAACTCTACGAAAAATGTGAAGGAATAAAGGGTGCCGATCAAGTGGAACACATTGTAAACTGGAATAACTGTCTTGTGGACGAACTTGTGAAGATGAATAATTAAACAATTATAGTAATAATAATAACAATGTAATTTTATTTCTCTTTTTCCGGTTTTGGGGTGATACGGTCTAGGATACGGTTGTCGGTGTTTCGGCTTCCAGCTCTATCCCCGTTTTCTCTGATGGTGGCTTCTTTGAACAAATCTTCCAGACTTCCCTAGGTTTTGCGTAGTCCAGTCCCGCGGTTGCGAAAGACTGTGCCGTATGTATCCGTACTGGGGGGAAATTTCTCCTTAACCGTTCAACCGTGCTGTGGTTGACTAGCTTTCAGTTTTCCAACTGACAGGAAAGTAGCCGAGTTTTATACAGGAATCGAATATTTCGATGAGAATGTCAGAAGGGCCTCCAACAACGTTCTTAGTATTTTTTCGTGAATTTCGTCAAGTTCATGAGCTTTGATTCTTGGCGCTTGTGCAAGGATATCTTGCCTAGTGACCTAACTGCGAAACTGGACAAAACTCTGCCACTATCCAAACTTTGCTTTCATCACTGCCAGCTTATATCGTTTGCAGGACTTATAGGATTCATGCCACTGCGCCTTTGACTCCTATGGAGCCTTTTAAAACGGAAGCCTCAATGTGCTTACTACCTTTTTTAGCCCCTTATGTTGCGAATCTCTTTCCACCAAACCAAAGGGTTCCTCATTCACAATCAACCCGTTTGACAGATTTAAATTTAGTTTTAACAGAATGCTCTTCATTATCTCGAAAAAATTAAACAGCAGCGATTGCGGCGTAAAGAGAAATTTTCCTGTAACCTTAGACTATCACGTCTATCTCACGACTCTAAGGCCCAGTTGTACAATGTCAGTTTAAACTTCGGTTTTTAGCTAAATTGTGGGTTAAAGAATTTGATTGGCTAATATTTCACAAGTTGACCAATCCTGTTCCTGAAATCTGTCAGTTAAACTAATTTGAAGTTTAAACTTCGTTTAGCCATTCCGACGTATCGCCTGATGATGGACAAGAAATAAAGTCCGAAATCGATAGCGACTAACATTCTATAATAAAAACAAAATTAGTGCAATACTTTTCGACAACCATTAGACCACACACTAATTCAATATGGAGCCATTCATCAACAATATTTAAACTGACATTGTATAGGGTGAGTCAACGATTGTGCGGAGTATTTTAATGCCTTGAAGATAAGTTTTTTTCGATAGAGTGCTTTTGTATTATGATATGGAAGAATATTCTCCACATTTTAAAAATATTTGGAATTATACAGGGTCCGCCCACAAAGTAGGGCGCCCAAATGGTACATTTTTTTTAAATAGAACCCCTTGTATTTGAATGCATTTCTTAATTCTACGTGTAGTTGTACGTCTTTTTTATTGGTTAATATCCGAAAAGCTAGTAGTTTTAAAGATCATTCGATTTTTAAGAAAAATTGGGCATTTGCAAGCGTCAGTATATTGAAAAAATTATTACTTAAATTTTGACTCCAAGTTTTATATCTTTTATCCTGGGTTAAGTAAAAGTCAAATAAATACATCTACTATAAAAAATATATTTTTTGGTAGGTCCAAAGTTGCAGAATTTCATATTAAAAAATCTCATTTTTTTAAATAGAACACCCTGTATATTTTTCTGTCGTCATTTAGCTCCTCCTATCTCTGACAGTTTTCGAAATATCTTGGTTTCCTGGGTTTTTATATTCTAATCTTAAATAAGTTATATGTAATTTACATAATAGTGAGGTGGGCATGCAAAAAAAGGCAATTTTTATCTGCCTCGTACAATAACACGTAGAATTCAAGAATGCATTCAAATACAGGGGGTTCTATTTTAAAAATTGTACCATTTTGGCACCCTACTTTGTGGGCGCACCCTGTATAATTCCAAATATTTTTAAAATGTGGAGAATATACAACTATATCATAATACAAAAGCACTCTATCGAAACATCTTATCTTCAAGGCTTTAAGTTACTCCGCACAATTGTTGACTCACCCTGTACAACCGGACCTAAGACGCACAATCATAAACTCAGGAACGTACCAATCACCAACAAACACGTCAGGGCAGTGCTCAGGTCAATTTTTTTTTAATTTTATTAAAGTTCCATTAGAAGTTCCAAGGGGATGATTGCATATAAATCGTTATTTAGACCCTAAGATATTGATAGATAAATAAATAAAGTAATATGGTGATTTCAGAACGTTTTCAAAAGTTCTCAATCCTCCATAAGACCAGGATTAGGAATACTTAATACACACAATCTACACATCTAGTGATATGTGACTCCCGTTACCATGAATAAGAAGATAACCAAATCTATATTTCTAACCACAATAGAATTTACATATAAACAAGTGGCCCTCTAAATAAGAGTCTAAATGATAAATAAAATTACATTGTTAACATTATTACTTTAAGTTCTCAAGTTCGTCCAAAACGCAGTTATTTAGTTTTTTATACGTTCCACTTGATCATCGTCCTTTCCTTGTTTACATTTTTGGTACATTTTTTCGGCTTGTTCTTCATAGTCCATCCCTTTCTTTTTGAGGAGCAATTCGAGCCACTTGGTAATCTCCTTAGTAATCACCTCCTTGTTAAATTCGCCATCGGAATCGTAATAGTTTCTCTTTTCAATTGAACACTTCAATAGTTTAGTTCCCAGTTCGTCCAAATAAACTAATCTTAGTTTGTCATCGAAGTATCTCGACGTTATGTTCTTTGAAACACTCGCGGGAAGCATTGTCCAGAAGTTCGTCGGGGAACTCCACAGAAAACACTTACCGAATCGTTACTGGTAAACGGCCATTTGAAGCAAGTTGTATAGGCATCTTACCTGCACGATACACCAAAGGAGCACCAAACAAAACGTGGTAGCTTTCATTTTGGATGGTATGGTTACTAATAATGACAAAGTTTCGTTTTACCAATTTATACACTTGTGTTGTGTACCAGTTGGACTCTCGGTATCTAGATACAGATTCTTGGTAATTATTCTAAAAATACTGAATAATTGTGATAGTTAGCACCTTTAACCTATTCAAATGAAACCAAAATATTTTTATCATGATGTTTGTCATGGTTTAATATATCTGCGCATAATTGGTTATGATTATCATGTCCCGCTATGCACTGTCTACCCTAGATTCATAGCCCATTGTATATGATATAAAATTCATTGACCTATGCAATCTCCAAACCTTTATGCGGGAAATGTACATATCTCCTAAAGTGTAATCGATTCCATCAAATCCAATGTCCGCAATGGTAGGTACCTAGGTAGGTACTGTTTTAGTGTTGGTCCGAGTAACTTTTGTACCACCCGCACTTTGGTAAGGGAGGTATTGCATTGGATTTTTTGACGGAAATACACGTTTCGAAGCATCAACAATCAGAATCAAACAAAGTCTGTCGATATGCCGGTACTCTCATTGCCGGCTAAATGGCTGAACCGATTGGGGCCTAATTTGGTTCTTATTTTCTTAGACATAAAAGGAAGAGTTGTATCGGGAAATAGGCTTTCCTATTTCACAAGAATGGTTGAACTATTTTTCCTCTCTGAACTCAAAAACAATTCCCTCATTTCTATCAAAACCTGGCGAAATGTAGAAATACTAAATATAAAAAATTAGAAATAATTCTGCATCGATCTGGAATCAGTCTGGCTTTCAGATTGATTTACTTCAATATTGTCGCTTTGGCTTCCGTATTTTGGTTTTCGATCGTGTGCGATGTATTCGACTGCAGAAAGATCGATCTCTCCCTCTCAAAGGTCAAGGATCCAATTTTCGGCAATTACGGTGCGCTCGTCAGTTTTCGCCTTCGAAATGTCCCTAAAAAAATTTTCGAAGTGTTCACGCGACTTTTGCAGACCTTCGGGAGAAAATTTATCACGGCGCCGTCGTCCAGGTTACCTTCTCGCAGTAAATCGAAAAAGTCAGAGAAAACTTGCGCGCAACTACGTACGCCGATTCCGAGCCCGAATCTCTTCACCGGAGCGCGTTGTCAAAAACTCCAGTTTTTCTATAGGGCGACCCGCGACCCCTTGTCTCGTAAATCTCTTGAAATCTACAATCGCGCAATTTTACGTTTTGCTCTAACTCTTAACGGTTTAGCCGATAGAAGGCCCGAAAGTTGGCAAATACGAAAAACGCCTAGTTCGCGGCCGGAACTTCGGATCACGCAGTTCCCAAACGGGACCATAGATTTTAATCGTACCCCGGCAAAAATACACTCCGCCATGTCGCCCAAAATCTCAGAAAACCGGAATAGGGGCTTTCGTTTAGTTTTCGAACTACGAATTTTTTCCAAAATTTTCAATTTTTTCGCTTCTTACGGCAGCTACCCCGACGGGTGCCGCAGGAATATTCTTAACCTCACCGAAAGTTGCTAACTAATTTTAACCCCCCCCCCCCCTACGCCGCCGCCCGGACGTTCTAACCCTAACCATAGTGTATTCTATTCTTTACACTAAGCCCTAACCGTATAGATACAGCGAATTTTTATCCGCGCCCGCGCACCTCGACGATGACGCTCCTCAGTCGCTCAGGAGAATTTTCCAGGAACCAAATTCTCAGAATCGACGGGAAATCGCCTCAAAATCCGATCAAAATTTTATCAAAACCGGTGCATTTTTAATTAAATAAAATAATTGGGTTTTTTTTTTGTTAAATTTATTTATTTATTTATTATTCCTCTTGTTCTGGACCCTCAACAGGCTTGCGCCCAATGGGGGTTTACAGTATAGTTGAATTCCGCAGTTCTAATTTAATAAGCGTGTACCTGAAACCATAAAACATTTTTTTGGACAGTAAAAGTTTATTTAAAAATAGAGGCTGATTAGCAAGAAAATAATGAACATGTGCGGTTTTAAAGGTTTATTCAAAACGATATGATTGTGGCGGGCTCTGTGACGTAATAAGCCCGACCAATCAGCTCCTAGAACCATTCAGATGACATAACGACTTGGCAATATTGCAGGAGAATGGCATTTATAACTTGCGTCATCTGTCACAGGCACTTGTCACTTTCGTGCTAGATCACAGCCGTCTATAATTACAAGCCGTGCTGAGAATTATGGCAACACTGCATGGTAGGCCGATTTCCTAATTTAACTTGACAGATTTTGAGTGTATTTTATATGTGTTTGGGTGTAATATTCCAATTTACCTGTTTTAACAGAGCGAAATTGCGACAATTTGTGTTACTCCCTACGCAATGAACAGAAATTATTATTCAGGTAAGTTGCTAAACGAAACATATCGATTTGTTGTCATAACCTCTAAAGCAGGCTACTCCTTACTGGACCCTTTACAGGCACTTTTATTTGTTCAAAGTACCTGTAAGAAGCTCAAATATGACCTACACACTACCTGGTACGTAAGTACGGTAACTGTTTATCGTGAAAAAATACAATTAGTTTGTATTTCAGGTATTCTAGCACGGACATGTCAAATCGATTTTCTGAAGGAACCTTTCAACTTATTCCCAAGAGTTCATGGTACGGGAATTTGAAGTCTACGGGGCTCCTTTCTTTAAAAGCTTCGCACCTAGACCCACTGGAGTAGCGACTGGCTTAAAGTCTGCCATCCCGAATCACACCTGGTCGTTGATATAACCTCGCTGATGCGCAGCGATTTACTGTCCTTTTACCAAAATTAAGTGCTCAAGCGTGTGCTTCACCTCGACCTCTTTCGACAGAAGTTCACCAATTTTGGAGATCTCCATGGAAAACACATTATGATGCAGTTACCAATTTACAGCGTTTCGAATTTTAAAGTCAAATAAAAATGTTATTATCCATTTTTGTAAATAAATAATTATATATGCACAATTGTAAGCTGCCTAAGTATCTTTCTTCTATATTAAAACCGCCAAGGCGAAACACAGGAGAGAGGAAAATGCCATTTTTCAAGAGCAACAAGACTCCATTAAAACTTACATCGGCCCACCGATTGACTTTCGAACAACGTTGCCAAACTTCTCAGCATGGCTTGTAATTATAGACGGCTGTGATGCAGTTAAACATCCCTCTCAAAACGTCAAATGTGACAAACGTCAGACCCTCGCGTAAGGTTGCCAGCTCACTTCTACGTGATTGGTTGTAGGTTTGTGACGTATTTAGTCTGAAGCGTTTCAAATTCGGACTAAAAACACAGCTTTTCAATAATTTATTTTGGGTTTATTTTACTCGCAAATAAAAATTGAGGACACACGGGTCTTTTTATTTTTAATGTACTTTGTGGATCAGAAATAAAAAATGAAGGCGGGATGACCCCATTACAGAGTGACCTGCATAATGCTTTTTAGAGATGCCTCTGCAGAAGGTCTAAGTTGTCTAAGGTAATTTCCATCTCTGCCACAGATGAAAAATTCACCTTAACCCAGGTTCGAACACCCGACTTCCGGATTTATAGTCCAACGCTCTGCCATTCAACGGAAATCAAAGCCAAACGTGAAAGCGAATCGAATTCAAACGTTAACGCGAATTAAACCTTCACGTTTGAGTTCGTGTTCATGTTTGGCTTTACGTTCACTTTTGGGCTCGCGTTCACGTTTGGGTTCGCGTTCACGGTTTGCATTTACGTTTGGTTCGATTGTGTTTAGGTTTGGGATCGATTGGTGTTTCGCCAGGATTCCACAAACTGGCTCAGGCAAACGTAAACTCTAACGGAAACCCGAGCTCAAACGTGAACGCAAACCGAAACGTGACGGTTCAATTGGCGTTAACGTGGGGATCTGCTGTTTGGGAGACTAAAAATCGATGATCCTTGGGGGCGAGAGATCGATCTTTTCGCTTTACTTTGACCGACTATTAAGGTCACTACAAGAGGAAAACGGTAGACGAATTTCCGTTTAACTTCACATTGACCCACTTTTCAAGATCATCGCCACATACGTAACCTTGAAGTTCACTTCGGCCTGCTTTCCAAAATCACCGCTTGGTGGTGGGCGACCTTGAACGGTCTAGGTTCTGCAATATACTCTACTCAGGGTGTTGCGTCACTATTTTTGGTGCTTAGACCGAAATAATGCGTACAATATGACGTTTTTTACATTCCAATATACAGTTTGTCCAAAATAAGGATGTCTATCATGGGGATCTCTGGCACCACAGAAGATAAGACAACGGCCAATTAGAGATAAGGTGTGCAATTAAAGAGTTATTATCGTACTCTAAAAGACACCACAAAATTCGGATTACCATGCCAGAAAATCCGAAATTCACCGATTCCGTTTTTATTTTTTCGTTGTGTTATTTGAATAGATGCAAAAAGATAAAAAGACACTTTCTCATTGCCATTTATTGAGCTCTATAAGACACCATTGAAAGATTTTCAGTACATCGTTTGGTTTCGGAAAAATCATAAATTTTTTTTATATGACCCGTCAAAAAGGGACATATTGCAATATATATATATATATATATATATATATATATATATTATATATATATATATATAATATATATATATAATATATATAGGAAACACGTTCAAGTGGCACCAATTATGAGCATATATAGACGTTGTGGCACCCATATATGCGTAGTGGCACCAATTTAAGGTGCCACAACGTTTTCGACTATATTTACGCTCAGGCACCCTATGGGACTCTAAAAACGAAGTATGGCGAGGGTGCCACTTTGACCATATACCTATAGAATCGCGATTTTGGTTACACGCGTATGTCTTAAGGCGGCGCTGCGATCGGAAATATTTACAAATTGTCTAACTGGCACCATTTACGTTGTGGCACCGTGGAATTTTAGCGTGCATTGCACGCAAGGTCAACCGGTTCTCACCGATTATATCTTCCCTTTTATGACCCCCGTTGACTATCTACGTACTTGTATTTTGTCGACGAGTTGCTAGAAAATATATTTTTCGTTTAAAGGGCATCGTTTATCGTCTTTGTTAACAAACGCAATTTTCCCTAAAATGAATCGATTACAAGCTTTTGCAAT